TCCTTAAAATTCAGGGAAATGAAGGACGCATTTGAGGGCCGCATTTCGAGCAGCCTTCGAATTGGGACAGCCTTCGTCGCGTCGCTGTGACGTAATCGGCCTTAAAATGCGGCCTTTAAGGCTGCAGACGCTGAATTGGGATACAGCCTTAAGGCGGGGTGGCTGCAGCTCAGGAGGTAGAGCAGCTCATCAACCAATCAGAAGTCTGTGAGCTTGTATGTTGGGCAAGATACTGAACCTCAAGTTGGATGGAGCTATTCAAATAGATGCACCTCGGCATAGAAAAAACTATATTGCACATTTAAGTGTTATGCCTTTGTTCTCCACTAGGTGGCAGTGAAGTTTGTGAGCAAGAAGATGCAGAAGAAGGAGCAAGTGGCGCATGAGGCAGACATTCTGCAATATGTCCAGAATCACCAGCTGGTGTCATTGTTGGACACCTACGAGTCTCCTTCCTGTCTGCTGCTCGTCCTGGAGCTGTAAGTCGAGTGTTTGGCTGCTGCAAGGTTTTTTTAATCGTAGTGTTTTCGCTTGTTTTTCACAACAAGTCGAGTTTTCAGTTTTAGTGCCCACGTGGTTTGGTATGAACCAAACTAAGCTGTTACTTTTTAATAGTTTTCATATCAACTTTGCTCTCTTTGAATGTTTTCATAATGTTTACACTTTGTCAGCACAACTTTGTCTGTGTTTCCATGTCAGACTGGAGGATGGCCGCTTGCTTGATTATCTGGTTGCCCACGATGAGCTGATGGAGGAGAAGGTGGCGTTCTTCATCAGAGAAACTCTGGAGGCCCTGGAGCACCTTCACACCTGTAGAGTGGCTCACCTGGACCTGAAGGTGACGGCAGGTTTTTGTCACATATGAGAAGAAAAATATTGACAGTTGTTTGCTCATCTGTGTCATGACTCTGTTTTTGCTGCAGCCCGAGAACATCATGGTCAACCTCCATTCCCCCACGCCCAGTGTTAAGCTAATTGATTTTGGTGACGCTGTCCAGCTGTCTGCCCACCGCCGATACGTCCACCTCTTGCTCGGGAATCCAGAGTTTGCTGCGCCCGAGCTGATCCGTGGCGCTCCGGTCTCCGTGGCCACAGACATGTGGAGCTTGGGTGTTCTGGCTTATGTCATGCTCAGTGGCGTTTCTCCGTTTCTGGACGAGTCGCCGGAGGAAACCTGCATCAACATCTGCCGCCTAGACTTCTGCTTCCCAGACGAATACTTCTGCAACGTGAGCCAGGTGGCGAGGGATTTTGTGTCGTCGTTACTGCAGCAGGATCCCAGGAAGCGGCCGAGTGCTACTTCCTGTCTCCAACATCTGTGGGTGGGTCGTGGAGGCGGGGAGTACTCCAAGACGCCGCTGGACACGGCGCGGTTGGCCACGTTTATCGATCGCAGGAGACAACTGCACGACGTTCGGCCCATTATGAACGTCAAAGGGCTGGTGAGCAGCGGCGTGGGAAACACGCTGTGATGGGATCTGAACTCCCACAGGAGCGTTTGATTGTGTGTCAGTGTGCGTGGGACAGATGTTTGGTGCTGGAATCTTCTTGCTTCTGCAGGACCACGATCAGTCACCTGTAGACCAAAACCTTAACCCCAGAATATTTATTTATTCTTGTTATTTGTTCATTTCAGCCATGACACATGAAGCGGGTCAGGTAAACTGCCAAAACACCACAAGAACCCAAAGAAGTCAGCTGGACTAAGCTGGATGTGTTTACTCCAGTTTGCCGTCATGTAACGAACTGTTGGGGCTTTGCAGAGGCCTCTCGCTGAGCTGAGGACTCGTGCCGTTGATCTCAGGCTCTGGTGCTGAGGGTCCTGCACAAAGTGCTGTTTGCAGGAACAGTGACACACCGTGATGAGCCTGTTTCTAGTATATTTGTAATCATTTCCTTTCAAGGACAGTGTCCTAAAAATGATATTTGCATATCGATAAACTTCAATATTTGCCCACAGTTTACTCGAATATGCTGGTATTCAAAACATCTTCTCCAGTTTCTCTTCGTCACTTTTCTTTCTCCTGTTTTTACAGGCAACAGATTACAGATTACTACAGAGGTGGGAAATCACAAATACTCTGTTACAGTACTTAAGTAGGATTTTCAGGTATCTGTATTTACTCCCTACATTTTCATAAAATTCAATTCAAT